TTTTTGTTCGTGTAAAAACTAGTTGATTTTCGAAAAAGAAAGCGTATGTATGAATCTTTTTAAAATAATGTCATTCTGACAGTTTGATCACTTATCTTAGTTTTAACAACTTGTAAAATGTAAGTGTAACTTTCATGTCAAACGTCGGACGAGTTTCTGTAAATGATATTCATTTTTAACTCGTGTCATCAACACCGTATTTAATTATTTTTGTTGTACAGAATATCAGGCCTAACTCATTTAAAACTTCACTGTTTAGGTGTTTGTACCTAACAATTGTGTTTTATGTAAAGAGTTGCTCTCTGTTCCGTAATAAAAGACAATGACTTTTTTCGAAATCAAGATGACACATCACATTGTTAAATGATCCATTGTTGTAGGCACATAATATTTTCAAAACCAGACTTATAAATAAATTTTATTGTGGATTCCAATTTGGCGTTCTACTCTTCAAGAGCTTTGTTAAAATAGAAAGCTGGGAATAATTCTCTAACCGGTACATTTCAAAAATGCATTCTACTAAAATTAAATTTGAGTGTTGTTAGACACAAATAATGCATTACGTTAGACACTTTAAGCAATGCTTGAGAGCAGCCACCAGCGCTATTCACAATGACTTGAAACATTAACGAGCAAGATACTGCACACTGGAGCTTTCCATTGTGTTGTGCATCTCTATTAAATGTCTCTTTACAGCCAACCATTAAGTTTTCACCCATAGACGTGTCTTTTCAAAAGGAAATATGCCCGTAGCTTTAGACTTTAAGAGGAAGAGAAATAACCTTTTTAATAAATAGTAAAGCAGTTGCTACATGAACATAATCCTGAACGAACATCTGTTTGAAACTAGTACAGTATTGGTATTGTTTTTGTTTTTTCTCTATTATTGAATATTCATGTATCATTGTCAAGAACTTGTTTTTACAGTAACCTGCATTATTGAAATTCAAAAGAATGGCAACCTATTATAAAATTGAAGAAAACTTCATAACATATTTTGATTATTTCTACGAAGAAAAATTATGACATCTTTTTTTGATGCCCACAAAATGACTTAATAAACATTTAATTAATTTTGAATCCTAAGAATTGTATGCTATCTATTTCCCTGCCCGTTGCTTTAAACGTTTGTGGTCTTAAGGTTTCGAAACTGTCAAGAAAATGATTTATTTTAACAACTGGTGAAGACTACCTAAACACAAACAAAATTGTTTTGTGTTTGTTTTTCTTTTTAAAATTTATGCGTTCAAGGATACAGGTATCTAACAATGTCATGTTTTGGCTCAGTGGCGTAGCCACGTTATCCATTCGGGGGGCGGAAAATTTTAAGAGAGGCCAATAAATTAAAAAGCTGAAATTGATCTAAATCTTTAATAAAATGGTCATTAAATCAAATCAAATGTAATAGTGTTTATAAAAGTTATATTTTTGTATTAAATGATACAAAACAAGTTTATTACACATAAAAGCTGAAAAATAATGTGTGCTCAATATGTCTAGATTTTTACATCTCTGTTTTGGCTACGGACCGACTAATAAATATTCTAAACTTTAGGAAAGATAACTGAATGTAGAGTGAAGACTAAGACACATGCACTAAATTCTGTTTTTATATATTATATTTCAGCTGAATTTTTTTTAAGTACCGCACGTTGTTTTTAATACTTAACTTTTTAATTTTTGTAACTGAGGTTCTTCCCCCACTATTTGATAAATTTAGAAAAAATATATATATAAAAGAGGTTTAAACGCAATTAAAATGTCAGAAAGGAGCATTTTCAAATATGTTGTTGTATCCAAACTTTAAAATTCCAAAATACCCGTTACCGTATTTATGTGATTTGTGACTGTCATAATCAGTTGTTCAAAAACACTACGGCGTTTAAGCATTACGTATGTAAATAGGAAGTACAATTCCTAGGTCGTGTAACACATCTGTGTAACGCACAAAGACATTACACGGCCTGATATTTACGCGTTGAAGGAATAAAACTCATACAAAAGGAAACACAAGCTACATCTTTTAAAATAAAATCCTAATATCTACGTCTGTTATTAACGGATTCCAATATTACAAGAGATGTCTAATTTCAGCAAACCAACCATGAATTGGTTCGTCATTACATTTCCGACTTAAGTATTGTTATACTCCAACTAGACAACGTAAATGTTGGGCACAAAAGCAACATTTTCAACAAAATTGTGAATATAACAGAAAAACAGAGGATGAAAGAGTTGCATAGGTTAGATGAAAGTATAAGCAACTGATGACAACTTTTAACCATAAAATGTAATTATGCTGAAAAAAAGAAATTTATAAATCAAATTTATAAACTTTAGGGTGAAAAATAAACGAACAAAGGAAAAAAAATTGCATGAGAACAAAGCGGAACACTAATCTAATTGTTTGTTTCAGAATTTTCGAGTAAAGCTACAAAATGGCTACTTGAGCTCATATTTGAGCTCAGTCATCTGAAATGATAGTACAACTTCAAGGCACCTAGACAAAAAACACACTCCGTCAGCTCTTGGGCCATTTTTTTACTGACCGAATAGTGGGATTTTGTAGTCACTCTTATATCGTACCCACCAATCCAACATGTGTAGCGGATTTTTACTGCTACGGGCCACGAACTTGAACCGTCTGATTCACAGAACGCTAACCACTAGTCCACGTTCGGATTCAGTTTTACATATTGAAGAAAGTATATTTTCTGGCGACCATTTTTTATCTATTTCAGAACAAAGGTTTTCTAGCCTTATTTTCATGAGACTACGCTTCTTCGGAGAACGGCAGAGCCAATGTTGTCCTACTCCCGATGTTCATCTTTCCTTAAACAGGCTAATATCTGAGTATTAAGATTTCTAAACGTACCGTCAAGCATACCAAAATCCTAAAGTCTATTGGAGTTGCAATGCGTACCTTGACAGATCTGTGTTCAAATGGGATCACTGTGTTTCCTTCAAGATTCTTCTGTCATCTTTTTAATGAAGACAGCCGTTGAATTCGAGTCGTGGCTTAAATCTTGTGGAACTCTGCCAACTTCACATCCTTGTTCATTATCTCGTTAACTATACCAGGAGATATGCCTAGTTTTAACGCATTTTTAGATCCGAGGTCTCTTCTTTGTAACCATTTTCACTTTGTGAATGAGGACATTGGGTCTAAGGCGTGGTTTCAAAACCCGTTATGTCATAAGTAAATGTTCTGCAGTATGAATCTTTTCGCTTCTACGAAGAACATGAACTTATTAGAAAAATTGTGTCCGTTAGTTCTGCATCTGTCAAACTGCTCACTGTATGGATATTTATCTTCGTAAACACCGATCATATATCCCTCCAGAAATTTGACAAACTCGCTCACGGTTTGCATATATATGCTGGACAGGTGCATGCCTATCACGTTACCGTAACTCTAGAACCATTTTGACATTTGAGGAAAATAGTGATTAATTTAAATGCAATTTTCATAATCTCTAAATCGCACCTGGATATACGAACAATAAGAAAATTAAAGCATACTGTTTTATAATTATAATAACTCGATTAAAAAGACTGAAAATAAAATCAGGCTAGTAGTGTTTGCGCACTTAATCAATTAAGTGTTGGATATATATATTCAAATTTCAGATGCAAATGAAGTGTTCAGCCGAGGAAAATTGTGAGTTATTTGTGTTTAGAAATGTAAAACAAACCGAAAACATTATAGGATAACGAATAATAATTGCAAGATAACTCGAGACATGTTTGCTGGATGTGAAAAGAGTTACCAGCTGCCCTAGATATAAGAACTTAGCTGGTTTGAAACAATAAATATCGTGAAGAGGAGTCATTGTCCTTTTTGAATGAAACTGCCCACATCAATTATATCCAACTATAAGTGTTTTGTATAAGATTTAAGAACTCGCTATGTATATACTTAAAACATGGTATACACTGCGCGATGGCCAGGGTGACTTTGAAGTAAGAGGTAGCGGTCAAAGTATGACAATAGGGGTGCTCTCTATTACCCGCTTTTCAACACCCAGCTCTTAATGTCCTTCCGCAATGTTTCAAGTAATTAATTAATTGACGGTCATTGGCCACAAAAAGTGTCTTACAGGCCAAAATTGAAGAATCACTGGTAAAAGTAAGAAGTGGATATAACTCAAGAAACGGCTCTTCATATCAACGTTGGAGTAGAAACTTCAGCTGAGTTTATGTATTACTGCAAT